GGTACCCAGATCAACTCTGTACAAACTAGCAAAGCTCGCTTGGGAACGGGCATGTGGTTTGTGAAGTTAGCTGTCTCCCCCAAGCATTGATTCTCTATATGAGCTGGAAGGAAGTTCATCAGGCTTCAGCCACTCAGGGCATAGGCAGTTTAGCAAGCACATGCTCATGCAGTGAGGCCACTGGTTTGTGCCCGGAACTGTGCCAAGTTATAAGCAAACAATAATGATCCAGACCAGATGTGGTCCTGCCCTGTGTGGGTTATAGTAATGAGGAGACAAAAAAAGAATCAAATGGCCCCAAGCACAACCACAAACTGACACAATTCTAAGAAGGAAACAAGGGCCAGGCATAGTGGCACACACCTGTCCTCTAAGCACCCTGGGAGGCTGAGGCACGGAGATCACAAGTTCATACCCAGCCTGGACAGCATAGTGACTTATGGAGATCCTCTCTGAAAATAAAAAGGGTCAGAGCAAAGGCCTGGGTTTAATCCCCAGTACCACAGAAAGAGAAAGGGGAGGGAATAAGGAAGAAAGAAAAGAAAGAGGAAGGCAGGATAAAGGAAGGATGGGAGGGGAGGGGAGAGGGAGAAGGGAAAGCAACAAAGTTGTCTGAAATGATGTGCCCAGAGGACCTGTCCTGGACTGAGGAGTCAGTAAAACCTCATCTGAGGAAGTAGCATCTGAGCTGAAAGCTGAAGGGCAAAGAGAGAGTGAACAGGAAGGGAGAACTACATGTGCAAAGGCCCCGTGGCAGTAGAAGAAACCGTGAATCATTTGAAGAGAAGAAAAAGGAAAAAAAAATCAACAAGTCTAATTCACAAAGAGAAGTAGAGAGGGCTGGGAGTTGAAGTGGAAGTGTTTGGCAGGGTCAGACGACAGAAGGCATCCTAAACAGTGTTAAGGAAACTGGGAAGCCATTGAAAAGTTTAAGCAGAAGGACAGGCATAACCAGATTGGCATTCAGGCAAAAGCACTCTGACTAGGACACGGAGGGCAGCAGAGAACGGATATTAGAAGACCAACTAAGCACTATTCTTTTAGTCCATGGGAGACAAGCCAGAAGTTTGAAGCAGTCATTGCTAGTGAGGACAGAAATTGACAGCAGTGGGAACTTTGAAGAACTTTGTGAAGAAAACGCCAGGGATCCGGTGATGAGTAGAGCCCTTGGGGTGGCACTGGGGCTGCAAAGTGAGGGCTGAAGAATCCAGGATGATGGGGCTCAGGGTTCAGCCAGGGTCAGTGTGGGGAGCAAACAGGTCCTTGGCGCAGGCAGGGGAGGTGGGATGGTGGGATCGCATCCTCCTGGGGAGGGGAGGCAGCTGTGTTGAGGCAAAATCTTTGGGAGGCCTGGCTCCCACTTGCCATCAGTAGTTACTTGTTTAAGGCCTGATAACAGGAGATTCACTTCTTATCCAGGACATTTGGTTTGAAATGTCTAGGGTTCCCTTGGATAACCTCCCTTGGCTCCCTGTGCAGTGGCTTTCCTGGGGCCTTTGCTACCAGAGACCCCACAGGCACCACATACAGGAAATGCGGCTGGGCCAGGCTGGAGACAGGGGCGGTGTCCTACTCTGTCCCGGCTCCTCTGGCTTCGGCCTGCTGGTGGGGGGGTCAGAAAGGCATGGCAGTCGGGCCTTTCAGAGGAGCCGAGGTGGAGTTAGACACCCGGGTTGTGCAAACTGGACTGGGTACCCTTCCAAGGATGGTGGCTTTCACACACTGCAAACCACAGCGGAAGGGCTGATCTTCCAACAGCCAGTGCGGAATTCCCCTTTGTGCAACCGTGGCACCAACTCAAGCAATTTGGATTTTCCTCAGGGGAAAAGCACTGAGCTCTATAACTCCTTGTAGACAATATTAGCTTCTCAGAGCCCTGGACACTAGATGTCCACTTGAACTCACAGGAACAAATGGTGCCAGGTGAACGCTGGTCACCCCCAGTGACTGTCCCTCCCTTTTCCTCCCTCCTACTGGTGCCCAGACTCAGATCCCCAACGTGCAAGCCTTGGCCCTTGTGTCTCTCAGATGTGGCTTGGAGCTTTTCCCAGTATATTCAAACAGACTTTTCAGATGAACAGATTTGCTTGCAGCCCTGAGATACAGGCTTACACACAGCCTTACAATGCAGGAGTCGTTGGTCTATCTTGTTTTGGAAAAGCACGTGGCCTTCACTTTTCTCAAGGTTGTGTACCTATCTCTTGGTGTCAATACTAGGAAATATGCTACAGGGGAGACGGTATCTCCATTGATTAAATCAGGACTTACATCAAGAAATTTTCCTGTGGTTATGTCTGAACATTTAGATTATGAAATTGTAAGATGATAGACAAAGAGTTCAAGTCAATGGGGAAAAGGATCAACCACTCAACAAATGGCTGGAGAAAATTGGACAAATGGCTAGAGATAATTTCATGGCAAACTGAGAAGTCAGACCCTAACCTTAGCCCTATTTAATGGATTATGAACGAAAGAAATATAGAAATGGCTCTTGGACTTCTCTCTCCTCCCTTCCATTGTGGGTACCTGTGTGTGTTTACATATATGTCTCAAATTATAAGAAGAAACTGGAGGAAATGCCGCCTGCCTCCCCACCCCCATGTTTCTCTCTGCTCCTCTGAGCGCTTGCCTGTGCCCGTCACCAGCCTCCTTGTGGGCCCACCCTCCAGCCCTGATTCAGGCTCCCAAAGCATTCTGTCATGTAAATCCCAAATATAGCTGGCGCCTTCTGTGGGTTGGACTCTGCCAGGTACACAAAGATTAAGAAAATAACATCCTGCTCAGGGTGCTCACAGCTGATCGGGCATGACAAGGAGTTCACGAAGATGGCAGTGAAGTAGGGTTGTAGATCTCACAGCGGGGTGAGTACAGAGCATCACAGGGAACCCAAGGAGGGGAACTGAGCTGCCTGGATCAGGGGGGACCTCACAGCCCCACCTCAGACTCAGACCCTGGCCTGATGATCTGCAGTGCTGCATCCATCCCTGGAACACCCAGATCCTAGCGGGCACAGCTGATGGAGCCCAAGAAAACCAGGAGCCAAGAGGGGAAGAGAAAGACAAATGTGGCAGGAACCCCAACCTCAGGATAACCTTTGGTTGCTGGATACAGAACTCAGCTGGGCAGGAATCTAGCAGGAGCAGCAATTCTGATTTTTGGACCATTCCAGTTTCTGGAAGCCTCTTTTTGTCCTTGACAACAGTTTGGACCAACCCTGGCCAAAGCATTGGGAGGAGAGGCCACAATCCCCCAGTTCCTGATCCACAAGTCACCACAGCAGGTGCACCTGGACCCTCTCCCTTCCTTCCTGCTGTCTCTAGCCTAGCTGGTCCCAGGATGCTGCCCCTCCCTTGCAGTGGCATAAAGTATCCTCCAACGAGGCAGGCTCGGAGCCCGGTGCCAGCAGAGATGCCCAGTGCCCTGCAGGAAGGTGAGGAGGTCACAGACACTGTGGGCTGCACCCCACCGGGTCCAGAGCCCCTAGGTCAGATGGAAAGCAGATGCAGGAAGGACGGGTGACTTGCCCTGCGCCCAAAGTGGCAAAGCCAGGGCAAAGTCCCAGTGGCTCTGTAAACGGGTGGTGGGAGAAACCCCTTTCGCAGCAGCAAGGGAGGGGGGCGCCTGAGCACAAAGAGCCCAGAAACTTTCCCAACATCTCACAAGTCCTGAGTTCCCTGCCCGGATGCTCCCGAACTGGAGGTGAAGCGACACCTCTGATGCGCATGCGCACGCGCAAGTCAGGCTGCGTTTCTAGGGCTTCTTGGGGAGGAGGAGGGGGACAGAGAAGAGGAAAGAAAAGGCCCTCCACCCCGCCTTCACGGAATCCGAGCTGGGTTTCCTTGTTGTTTCTACTCCATCTCTCAAGCTGTAGGCTGCAGACGCGGAAGAAACCCAGTCCGGTGTCATTCTGCCCACAGGGTTTGGGGAGCAGGGCACTGCCCGCCTCGGCAGCCAGGGGACACAGCACCTCCGAGCCTCCCTCCCTCACCCCTGGATGGAGGAGCTGGAGCCCACCTCTGACCCTGCCTGTCCTGGAGGGAGCCGGTCTCCTCAGGGGTCGGTCCTCGAACAGCCAGTGGACGAGCGAGAAGGGAGCTTGAAGCTACCTAAGCCCTCCTTTCACCTTGGAGAAACTGAGTCCCGGAGGGTTTCGGTGATTTTCCAAGTCAGCAAGAAGTCCTGGGTACTCTGCACAGGGTTAGGGAAGGCCCTGCGATTTCTCAATCCTGGTGCACTCTGGGATGGCCAGTGCGTCTGCGTCACTGTGACCTGGCGGCACGCGAATGGGACTCACAGCTACCGGCCTCTGCGTACAGACAGCTGCTCTGCCCAGGAAATCAACTTGGTTTTTGTTTTTAATTGAGAAGCTGAAAAATTATTCAAAAGAGAGAGAGAGAGAGAGGCATAGTCCATTCTAAAAATAGCTGTACTAATGCAGAAGTTCATTTTGAGTTCTTTTGCTTACAATGCAAAACTTCTAAAATTTAAGTTCAACGAATGCAAAATTATGGAGGTCTAGTGAAGGGAGGGGCTTGAGTCAAAAAAAAAAAAAAAAAAAAAAAA